ACAAGATCTTTCGCTGTCTATAGCCGGGTACCCATTCCCACCTGGGTGAAGTGAGGAAAATTCGTGTAAAGTGCCTTTCCCAAGGACACAACGCCAGGTCCCTGACGGGATTCGAACCCACAACCTTACGGTTGCGAGTCCGAGAGCCTAACCACTAGGCCACCGACGCCACGATTACGAACATGAACATGTTTGTGTTTTTCCTTATTCACGGATAGATATATGCGTGAAATTCACTAAGCTTAATTGGTTTAGAGGGAGATGTTTACCTACACCAGTGCACCAAGTATGAAATATTTGCTTTACGACGAGCCAAAAAAATATTTTTAAGAAGACAAAGACCAATCTGTTTAGAATGTCAAAAAAGATAAAGGACCTATAAGATCAGTGAATTTACAGCTCGGGTTCTGGTGCAGAGTCATCTAACTCTATGTCTATCACAATGTATCCATGTCGGTCGAAGCCTACTTTAGACGATTTTAAGACCACAGAGGGATCTCTAGCGTGCGCAACACGCACATAGGACCTCCGAGATTTTTCGCCCTTATCCGAGAAGGCTAGACGTTCGATCTTACCTAACCTTAGATCAGGGGTGTGGCTGAAAGAAAGCAGTAAGAAGGAGCCACGAGTATACAGGAAAGGTGGTGAAAAGAGAACATTCTAAAGAAAAAAATGTTTTCGTCCATGCCAGGTTTCGATCTTTTGGCCTTTTGCATGAGAGGCAAATACCATACCTCGCCAGTTGAGAAACTTGTTGGTGATCTAGCGAAACAAAGAATGGGAGAGCCCATGTGTGTCAACAATGAAGGCCGGAGCGACTGAGAAGGGAGGTTGTTGCATGCGCAGACAATGACAAGCAGAACGCATCGCGTGATAGGCCAGCCTAGGCCTAGTCTAGATTATCTAGGCCTACCATGCCTCTCACTTCTCCGATGCGAAGATGGAGAGGTCACAGCAATGTGGTGGATGGAGCGAATATGTGATGTACAGATGGAATGCACCATAGAGTGTAATTTGGTGGGGTACAACACAGCGATCGAGTGGGCCTATAGCCCCTTCTTTCTGATCGCCAACGCCGAGCTGTCAACATCGCTAGCGCTAGAGGAAGAAACCTGATTCGATTTTTGATCAGTAAGACCTAGAGGTCATGTTGAAACAAAATCAAAATCAGGGGAGATAACAAAAATAAAAAAACACAACACCAAACTCATAGATTAGGACTACTTTATTATTTCCCTTGAATTTATTATTGGAACCCTTATAGCGAACATCTTGCTATAACGGACATTTTGCACCGGTCCCCTCCCTCTCGTTATAACAGGATTCCACTGTATATATAAGTAGCATGTAGTCTACGAATGCAACGTGGCATGTAGCCAGCTAATCAAACGTAAAATGTAACTAACTGAAGGCACCACGTTGTTAGAACAACGTACGAGGGGCATACCAAAAGTTTTTTACATGACCATGAAGGAATGGAGGTAGAAACCTGAAATTTGGGATTTTCCTAGAATGTATGAAAATTTGGGTTGATTTTTGATTACTGGTTTTAACACCAGTGCACTGTAAGTGAATGAAGGTATGTTGTTCTCCAGTTTCAACGTAAACATGGAGAAAATTGAGCGCAAAGCAGTAATGAAATTTTTATTCTTGCATGGCAAGCAATTACAGGAAATTTTTACGGAGATGCATGCCGTATATGGAACTGATTGCCCATCATATGCTGTGGTACAATTTAGGGGTAAAAAATTCAAATGCGGATTCCTGGACATTGAAGATGACCACCGTGGTGGTCGCCCAGTGACAGCAACAACAGAAGAGAATGGGTTGAAATTCAAGAAACTTGTGCTGTCTGATAGGCGGGTGACAGTCAAACGTTTCGGCAAAGAAACTAGGCTTAGCTTGGGATTAGTTGAACAAATCTTAAACGAACATTTGAAAATGACCCACGTTTGTTGACTCCTCCTCAAATGTGTGGATTCTTGTCAAGAATTGCTTGGTCTGTATGAAAAAGATGAAACTAAATCTTTTGAAAGACGTGTAACCATGGATGAGACATGGGTCCACCACTACGATCAAGAGCCAAAATCTGCATCATTGCAATGGAAACCACTCTCGTCTCCAACACCAAAGAAGTCAAAGGTGCAGCCATCAAGTGGAAAAGTGATGCTATCAGTTTTTGGGGATGAAGAAGGAGTGATTATGACAGACTATCTTGAAAATGGACATTCGATCACCGGAGACCATTATTCTAACCAGCTAAAAAAAAAATTACGAGAGGCTATAAAAGAAAAACGCAGTAGAGGAAAGATCGGAAAAGGCATGTTGCTGCTTCACGACAACGGACCAGCACACACTTCAAGAAAAGCTGCAGAAACTGCACGAGAAAGTGGCTATGAAATTTTCCGCATCCACCCTATTCTCCAGATTTAGCCGCGTCCGATTTTTTTTATTCTACAAACTGAAAAAGGAATTAAAAGAAAAGCATTTTGAAAGTGATGATGAGGTCAAAGAAGCGGTAGAAGGCCGGTTTTCTGACAAAGAGAGGGTCTTCTATTCTCAGGGTCTTTTCAAGGTCATACACGGATGGCGAAAATGTATAACTGTGGGAGGCGACAACACAGAGAAAGATTAGGGTTAGAACCAAGTTTCAGCGTTCTACCTTTTCTCCTTCATGGTCAGGTAAAAAAAAACTTTTGTATGCCCCTCGTATATTACGTGATGGGCGAAAAGAGCAAATCTCTCCTTTACAGATAATAATAAGCCAGAGCGAAGTGCAACAACAAACACACACCAAATTGTAAGATATTTTTCAAATATTGGGAACAAAAAGAAAGCATTTCGCCATTTAAAACATTTAGATCTATCATAGTTCATTTTCATTTTAACAACTGTGCGTTATTAGAGCAAAGTAGAGTTTGTAACTACTTGCCATTGAAACATTGACACAAAAATGTTCACAAATCAAGGACTGGTAAGTCGCACTTGCATAAATTCAACCATATTTTAAGTAAGTAAATGTATTAAGTGTTCAAGGTCATTGGCCCACATCACATAAAATATTCATTAAAAAAAAAGAAAGTTTCCATAATGAAATGTGTCGAAAATGGGGCTATTTTAGGACACTAATGCAACATAATTTATTTGAAACATTATGTACTCTCTTCGGAAGAATGATAAAGTTCATCATTGTTGTCTTATCAGATCTCATTTTGTAATTAATGGCATTTTCACAAGATTGTAAGGCAGAATTGCATTAATGGCACTTTCACAAGATTGTAAGGCAGAATGGCATTAATACAACATCGTCGAGCAGAAAGATAAGAGACAATGAATCACAGGAAGGTATCAGAATAAAAAACGAATAAATAAATTCCACTTTAAGGACCCACCCCGGTGATTACCATCTAAACACCGTGTTTCAACGACCTACGCTTGACATCATTGTAACCTTGAACTCACTAAACACTCGGCTACTACGTGAATTCACTCACTAGTAAAGACTTCAGTGAGGGATATATTCTGACTCAAGTCCAGGTTAAGAGTAAAGTCATAGATGAGCCATAAATACAATTATGCCGTTCGGGCCTATAAACATTGTCCGTCCAATAGACAATACGAACATATGAAAGTAAAAAGGTGAAAAAAATCAGCCATTTAGAGAGGACCAAGTGGTTCACTGAAGGGCCGCAAATACAGGGGGATCCACACAAAAAACCCACACAAAAACGGTACAACGTTTTCTCCGAATATCTCGCACAAAATTGTTCTAGAGTGCTGTAGTTTGGAACATACACAATTCATTCCAACGGAATTTGTTTGACATAAAATCCACGACGAAGAAATTTATTTTGAAAACGGAAATGGCTTTAAGAAAGAAAGCACACAAATTCCTTTTGGCTTCTAAATATTATCTTCAAATCTGAAACGCAAAAATTCAGTAGGGAGGAAGATATGTACAAAACAAGTTGTATAGTTGTTGGTCTGTGGTTGTGTGTTTATTTTGTTGTTGTTGTTTTGTTTTTGTTTTTTTGTTTTTTTTTTGGGGGGGGTGGATCTCCCTGTATTTTAAATTAAAATAGAGTATATAGATTGCATCTACGAACTGTATTCAAGCAAATTGGCAAGGGCTCGTATCGGGACCATGCAGCCCGGTGTCCCCCTAGAGGCACTAGCCACAAACTATGTACTCTGACATATTTCCGGTTCACCACAGAGCACACTATTTCACTCAATTTTGGAACCAAATAAAGAGCAAGTGGGGAAAAGGTTGCCCGTGCACTCGACCATAGGTGTCAAGACGAGGTCAAATCAAGGGCTTGTCAATTTTTTAATAGAGGTATTAGTATCGTCTTGTTCATTTGTCTTGCTTTTGATAAAGAAAATATCCAGCTATCAAGAATAGAAGTCAAGATAATATTTTCTATTGAAGGGGGTGGGGGTCGCCTAATGTCAGAGGTAAAATTAGCGAAAAATGGCCCCCAAAGTTGGTTACTTCCAAAACTTCAGTGTCCTTGACGACTGCAAATTGACATTTTTGCGCCTTTGATCAACGTTGTTTTTGCAGTAAAATCAAAGTAGAAATGAGTATTTAGATTGACATAAAGGGTGTCTAGCCAAAACAAGATTTTGTTTTATTGCCCAACGGCCAGAAAAATGCTGGTTTCTTTGGTTTCATTATTTTGAGGAGCTCCTGATTTCACCACGATGTACCAGAAAGGACTAGTGTATGGAGTTTTATTGACGTGTCCATGGTGAGCACCAGAGCAGCAAAACTTTTATAGAGAGCAGAGAGCTGCGTACGTGACAGGACCCGATCTATGATAGGCCTAATGTAATTCAAATCTGTGACGTGATGTTCCAAAAGTCTTTGGTTCCACATTTCAAAGAACCGGGAAACCAACAAGACCTTTAGCAAAGATGATCCGATGGTGTGCCTAATGTGGTCCAAAATTCAATTCCAAATGGACAGAAATAAATACAGACAATATGACTTTTCCACTAGAAGTGTTGCATTTACGACAGCTGCTGTTACTTCCCGCGCATTTCCTTCTCATAGTCAATCGTCCTCCTACACGGACTTTTTTAATGAGAAAATTTTACAGCAAAAGAACAAATCAACACTAAATTAAAGGCTGTGATCATGAGAATACATATAACAACATACCATACTGTGTTTTCGCAACTATTGTTACAGTTACAAATACAGTCTGGACAGTTACTGCCAGTAGGAGGAGGTTTCATTCCGGAAGGTGGCGTCTCACTGTCCTCAGCAGGTGGGGTTGACTTGGAGAAGGGTAGTGTAGTTGTTATGGGGACAACAGTGGGGTTCTGCAAATCCTCCCCAGAGGTAGACGGCTCCCTGTTAACAGTCGGCGGAGATAAGATTAGGAACAGAGGCCGGTGACATGACAAGAGAATAACTATGCGTCTAGAAAAAATAGCTGATAAATTAAATTGTAATACTTTTGTTGTAATTAATTCAACACTTTAAAGTATACAGTTCTTCAAGGATTGTGCATACAATAAATTCTTTCCGCCTATCGATATTACAATTTTAAATGTTACATGTTGATCTTTTCAATTCCTTCATTGCAACACTTTGGCAAATATTTATACATTTATCTATTAACTTTAATGGTTTCCCTTTTTCCTTTTGTTTTCAGAAGGTTGGAAAAAGAACAAAAGATGAGGGAAGGGGGTGAACCTGACGAGACCCAGACGAACTACTCGAGGAATGGACTTGCAAATCATGCATGTCCATTCCCCACTCAGTCTGGCACACTCCAGAGAAGTTTCTTTTCCCACAATCATCTGATTTGTTACTCCTGTACCCTTTCCGTATTACTTTGATTTTCTTCCGAACCTCGCTCAATTCTTAATCCATTTATGCTTTCAGAGTTTTGCAGTTCTTCGGAGTTTAGCATTGCCACGAGAGTAGTCCCATGTGGTTTGTTGGATGACAGTTGTCAGTTCTTTTCTGGGAAGTTTCTACTCGATGTGGCGCATCATGCTTCGATATGTCTTTCTGCTGAGACTTTGTATCCATGTCAGCCCCGGTTGGCCCTGGCAGACAGGGTCGAAGCGACCCGCTTCCTAAAGATCTTAATTGTGCCAACAGCGGCGTAAAACATCTACAATTAATTATCAAACACACAGGAAAACCCTACCTCCTGTTGAAGTTGCGTTAGAACCTGTTCAATTCCACCCCCACCCCAAATCCCCTTTCCAGTGACAGACTGACTTTGAGAACACCAAGGGTGCAGAATGGCTCAAAAATTTTTGAAGGCTTAGACCCGGACTGTTTTAGAACCAGTACTGTTTTGTATTATAATTGCATCCTACTTTATTCTCCGATGGGAATTGATTGTATGGTGGTAGTTTTAGAACAGTTTTATCATCGGGTTGCGTTGTTTTTTTCCTCAGCTTCAACACATTGAGAACTCAAGAAAGGAAAACAGATGCGTATGACCATAAAAACACGGAAAATGCAGTCGACATTGAAAAGAGTGTCTCTCTCTCCCCTCCGTCAACACAAAAGACTGTGAAGGACTTTCTCATAGCCAAAATTATGTCACTGGCCTGTCAGGAAGGTCTACAGTAAATACAAAACATAATATTTCTTTTCGTTAGAGATTGTGAAAATCATTCCAGATGCTATGTTAATCTTTCAGAGTGCCCTCTAACAGTTGGCAGAATTAATTTTTATGCGTTTTCTCTTCCATATTATTTTGTTTTTCTAATTTCGGAATAATCAAAAGTCTTGAAACCTCCTAAAGCCTTGCACTTGTTTCTTTTCAACTCATCATACTATTTCTCAAACCATACCTGCTTGCAGTGCTAGGACTCGCACTCCCTCACTGTCATTCATTCAGCCACTTTAAATACTGCTATCCCAATGATCCTGACAGGCTCTGACCTAGGCCTTCTTAGTACGATATAAGACAGCCTAGGCTCTGCCAGATTCGTCTCAGCAGGTGAGTCGTCAACCCACATTCTGACTACGACAAAATTCCTCCGATTTCAAAGCTTACATGAATACAACTTTCTTGCTCTCATTCCATGCTATCCTCTTAACTGACCACTTAATAGTACACTTCTGCCGTCTTGTGACAAAAAGACGTGTATTTGTTATTTGGTCAAGTAGCATTTTTATACAAGGGAGGAAGCCTTTTTCATGGCCCGTCTCCCCATCTTGGTTGTCTGGCTGTACAATAAAATTAAGGAAAATATGGGCTTTTGAAAATATACGTTGTGACATAATTAGATATCGATACTGTAATGAAAAAAGAAATTTTTATCAGTTACTCGATAACTATTTACTGTTTACCTCAGCAAATAGACAAAAGTTACACTGGCCATTGAATATTAACAAGAAATAATCAGATCAATCAAATTTTACTTAAGTTGAAACACAAAAAAGATTACTTTTTGTCTCTCCTGCAAAATTTCCATTTTTGGCATCTACCTTTCTCTGTCATAAGACGCCAGACTTTCCGTCTTGTCCTTACCATAGTACCGTACTTGTAGGCCTATCCCATCGAGTTACAAAATGTCTTGATTTTCAATTGCCAATTGTATAGGCAAAAGTTACAAACAACGCTACAGCTACTCTGTGATAAACTGGTGAATTCTCCATTTTCAGCGGATCCACATCTCGCATTTGCCAAAGACATAGTATTATCCAATACTAAGCATATATTCAATAGAGATCGTTCAAACTTGTTGACAAAAAAGGAACTTAGTATATCTGAACAAGTACCCGCTGTCACTTTGAAAATGTGAGACAAACAGATATAGATTGGGTTGGTAGAAAGCAGGGGAGGGATGGGGTGAAAGACAGAAAGACAGACGTGTATAAATGTACAAACCTGCATTTTGAATATCCTTGATTCTTGGTGCAAACACCCTCCAGAATGTATCCTTGTTTTTTACAGCACTTACAATATACTTCATCTTTCTCCAAATAATACATATCATCGTCTACATCTGTGATCATCTCGTTCTCTGCCCTGGGTAGCAGCAATGTGAGGAGCAGAAAAAAAGCAGAATAAAAATTATTAGAACGCTTTCGTCACATCAATTGAAAAAGTCAGAGAGAGCCCTCCAGTCTTTTCTCACAGCACCCCCCCCCCCCCCCCCCCCCCCAACTTGCTGTTTTGATTCAAAGGTCAGTCATTTCAAAATTAGAGCGCAAAACTGAAATCACAAGAAAAAATCCCATTTCACCAAAACATAAATGAGGGATCATCATTATAATTTTCAATAGTTCATAAATGACTTTCAATATTGTTTTTGTAAGAATTTAACAGTGAAGAAATGTTTGTCTTTTAACTAAAAGAAATATGCTTCCAAACAGACTGTGGGTGACTTCGTTGAGAAACTAGACATGTCATCATTTTAACTGCTCAGAAAAATCCCATTCCTTGAAAGCTATAATTCAGCTTTAAAACTATTTGTTGTGAAATTGTTTTCAGTGTTCAAAATCATGCCAAGCTATGGACTTGCGTGGAAATAACCAACTTGTGTCCCGAGCGCTCATATGACCTAACGCAGTTGCGAGCGCCGTAAAACTAACTAAGATATATTTTTAAAATCGACCTCCTCTTGAAGCTGAGACAGGCCGAGAACACTCCTTTCCCTCCCC